TGCCCGACCCTGGGGCGGCAGGACCGGCGCCCAGCCCGACCCTGGGGGCGGCGGGACCGGCGCACTGCCTGTCCCTGGGGGTGGCGAGACCGGCGCCCCGCTCGTCCCCGGGAGAGGCGGAACCGGTACCCTGCCCGTCCCTGGGGGTAGCGGGACCGGTACCCTACCCCGGTTCCCGCCTGACCTGAGGTCGGCGGCGGACTAGGCCGGGGCTTCCGGCTGCGTCGGTCGATATGTCGGCCAGGTGAGGGGGGGGGGGGGCGACCTCGAGCCTCGGCGGCGTCTCGTTAGTGGCGGGGTCGCGCGGCTAATTGTCGCCCCGGGCGCCGGTCACCCGAGCGGCCCGTTGCCGCGCCCTCGCCACTACCGCCCCGCCCGGCCACCTTCAGCCAGCGTGGGACCGCGGCTGCGGCCCCAGCAGCACGGCCGGCTCCCAGCATCGCGCCAGCTTAACACAGCGCAGGCGACGGACACAGCTTGTTAGCCTAGATATGACGGGTGGAGAGGCATGCCCTGCAAACGTTCGTCATGCTGCTAATTATGCCATAATTGTTTGCAAATCTTTTGAGAGCCTACCTATGACGTGACGAGCTTTTCGAGGTGCCAGCAATCGTCCGTTACGAAAAGTTTCTTTTACAAACCTTAGCTGTTGGAAACCTTAACCATCACCACCACTGGCCACCTCTAACCACGTCATTGATAGGCCCCATCCATTTCAAACGGCTGACGATCAAGCGATCGGCTACACGCACGCGTGTGCGAACCACGGTCCGGCTGCTGGGCGCCGGCCACCCAGCGGTCTGACTGCGGGGCGCCGGCTACCCAGCGGTCCGGCTGCGGAGCGCCGGCCACCCAGCGGTCCGACTACGTAGCACCGGCCACCCAGCGGTCCAGCCGCGGGGCGCCGGCCACCCAGCGGTCCGACTACGGAGCACCGGCCACCCAGCGGTCCGGCTGCGAGGCACCGGTCACCCAGCGGTCCAGCGGTCCAGCCGCGGGGCGCCGGCCACCCAGCGGTCCGACTGCGGAGCACCGGCCACCCAGCGGTCCGACTACGGAGCACCGGCCACCCAGCAGTCCGACTACGTAGCACCGGCCACCCAGCGGTCCGGCTGCGAGGCGCCGGCCACCCAGCGGTCCAGCGGTCCAGCCGCGGGGCGCCGGTCACCCAGCGGTCCGACTGCGGAGCACCGTCCACCCAGCAGTCCGACTACGGAGCACCGGCCACCCAGCGGTCCGACTGCGGAGCACCGGCCACTCAGCAGTCCGACTACGGAGCACCGGCCACCCAGCGGTCCGGCTGCAGGGCGCCGGCCACCCAGCGGTCCGGCCGCGGGGCACCGGCCACCCAGCGGTCCGACTACGTAACATCGGCCACCCAGCGGTCCGACTACGGAGCGCCGACCACCCAGCGGTCCGGCCGCGGGGCGCCGGCCACCGAGCGCGGGCGGCGGGTCTGTCAGCTGTCGGCCGCAGCAGCTCCGGCGCCGACGGCCGCCGCCTCGGGACGGCACCGCGCTCGAGTGCCGCCCACCTTCGGACAGCCTCGGCTGGCCTAAAAGCCGCGCCACACCGCCCGCTCAGCAGGAAGCCGCCACGGCCACAGGGGCACACGCGCTCGCGCTGGTCTTGACTAAGAAGGAGAGCCGGCGCCCGGAGCTAGACGGCAGGACTGAATGGTTCCGCAGAGCGGGTTTGATGACAGCTGCTCAGTCCCTTGGTTAGCGGGCAAGCAGACTTGCCCACACGCAAATCGCCGAGATACCCCCCCCCCCCCTTCTCCCCCCACCTAAAACTATGCATCGTGGGAACTATGTAACCAGAACTATAAAGTGTGGGGGCTCAAAAAGTCGACGGAGCACAAGCATGTGGCCCATCTTTCCTGGGCGTGCAATTCCTGTCGCATGGAATGGCGAATGGCGCGGGTCCGGCGCTGCATGACGCTGACACGCTTCAAAAGTAACATCGATCAGCACCGGTTAAACCGGCCGACGCCGAGTCACTCGCTGCAATAACGTGCCAGCAAGATGGATGATCCAGCTTGATTGGTCTCGTCATGCAGAACGACACGATGCGCGCATGCCTTCTCGTCTCAGACAAGGGAGAGTGGTCGGGCCGCTGTCCTCGTCGATTTCTACACCAGCCAAAAGAGCCAAGACCGGACTGCGTCCGATGATGCTACAGTTTCGGTCCATGGCGCTGTGCACGGCTCGTGTGCGAATCTGTGCCACCGGTCCCACGCTGCAGCGGACGTTTTGTACCGCTGTGGCGCTGTGCCGTTGTGCCATCGACTCCGATACAATCGGCGCAGTGAAAGGTTGTCCGGCGCTGCGGTCTGTCATCCGGCTCCATCGGCCGCCGAGCCAGGTCTTCTCCGGTCGTACTGATGGTCGGCGCGGCCGGCGTCGGTGTCCGAGCCGCCCGGTGCGGCCTCTGTCATCCGCGCCCCGGGGGCGTGCGCCGACTGCTGACCGCCCCCCCCCCCCCCTCCTACCGGACCCGATGGTGACGGACTCGGGGTGTCAGTGACAGGGGCCGTCGGTCACCGGTCGCCAGGGCCCGAGCTGGGCGGGCCGACGGCGTCGCCGCCGTGTCCCGTACGCCCCCACTCCAGGGGGGGGGGGACTGAAGCGTAGAGTGGGGGGGGGGGGGGGGGCGGAATGGACGGCACCTCCGCGGCGTCGGCTGCTGCGCCGGGCCACCTGCACGGGTCAGGGCTCCTCCAAGCGAGGAGGCAGGATGCTAAACAGGCCGCACATTTGAACCAGTCACTCAGTGCTAGCGTGATTCTGAGGTATGCCTCTTCCTCGCAACCAGTTGTGACAAAATGCATCACACACGCACAACATATCCGAGTTTTCAGCGGCTCCTACCACTAGCACGCCTAAGAGTGCCGACACACAAGAAAAAAATGCCTCAAACGAACCGTTCTCCAGAAATTTACAACATAGTCGAAAAAGCACTTGGAGTCCACCAAAAGTGATAGCCCGTAAGCTGAAATAATGACTCGAAGGAACATGCACATTACGATGAAGGTCAGGATGTCAAATTCATATTTCGAATTTGGTGGCATGTATACTTCTCGTCTAGCGCCACGCACTGCCTAAAAAATTAAGTAACCGGATCTAAACCCAGTATATCTGCATGCTTGTCCAAATCCCGCCACACCTGTTGCGTCCTGGCGCGTACGTAAGCCGTGACACCTTTGGGATACGTAGGTGGGATGCTCTGCATCCGTCAGCCACGCCACGTTGGGCCGCACTGTGTCCGGCAGGCCGTGCATGTTCAGTCCTCATCACCACGGCTCAGTGATGGTGAAGATGTTGGTTGCAAGGTTCCGATTCGGACCGACAACTCCTCAGTTTGATTCTGGTACCTGGGCTGCACGGCGCGTCAACGGCTTCCCATTGGCAAAGAGCGATGGAGCCACGGACGCGAGAGGCAGGAAATCCTACAAACCAAACTATCCAATTGCGGAAGCGTTAACTATGTATCACAGTAGCTCGCACAGGTATGCCGTTTCACAGCATACAGCTAGCCATCTCATCGCAGGATCGTATGTTCTGCTACACGTGACTGGCGCGGCACGCCATTTCCGCCGGTGCGCGCGTGCGGCAGCGCACCGAGCGCCGCCCAGCCAGCTAACGCCACCGGCACGTCAGTCGGTCCTCGGGCCGTGACGTCACAGCCGCACAGCGGCCGCCGCCGGCTCGGACCGGGGTCCGGCCATCGCCGTCAACTCGGCGGCCGAGTCCGACCGAGAGTACCGGCCAACTGACGAGCCGGTGACGACAGCGGCCCCTCGTTGGAACACCTGTTTCGGTGCCCTTCCGGGCCTGAGGACGGTTTATCTGAATAGCTATAGGTAGATGACCTAATGACAATCAGTGGGCAAAACGTACGTGCAATCGGAAGGCCAACCACAATGCCTCCCCGACATTGATGCATGTTTGCCCAAATGGCTCCTCCTGGAAGATGGCCGTGATGACATGGCTCCTGGAAGATGGCTGTGATGGCATGGCTCCTGGAAGATGGCTGTGATGGCATGGCTCCTGGAAGATGGCTGTGATGGCATGGCTCCTGGAAGATGGCTGTGATGGCATGGCTCCTGGAAGATGGCTGTGATGGCATGGCTCCTGGAAGATGGCTGTGATGGCATGGCTCCTGGAAGATGGCTGTGATGGCATGGCTCCTGGAAGCTGCTCAAACGGCAATGCGAGGACCAGCTGGCAGCATCGCGGCCTTCCAGCACGACAGCGGTGTCACGCCTCCGCCCGCAGCATCGCGGCCTTCCAGCACGACAGCGGTGTCACGCCTCCGCGAGCTGCAGGCGGGCAGGTCTTCCAGCACGACAGCGGTGTCACGCCTCCGCGAGCTGCAGGCGGGAGGTCGTGCCCGCCGAGCGTCGGCTGACGTCATCGGCGTCAAACGACGACAGCAGCGCCGCATTGTACCGCATGGACGACTGGGCGCCGCCCAGCGACGCCTCGCTCCCATCGCTGCAATCAACTCAGGTAATCGTCCATTCGGAGACACCGTGCCCGATTTGACGTGCAGTGCCAGCGGCGGCGGCGACGCTGGCTGCTGTGCCAACGCACAGGGCAATGCCGTAGGTCGTTGCCTGAGTGATCGCAGCGGAGCTCCCCTCGTTACGGTCGCGAGGCGTTGTTTGTCATTCTCAGAACGCCAGGACATGGCGAGACCAGAACGCAGCCGCGTCAACAGCCTAATCACATGGCGCTATGGGCGGCAAGCTAAGTAGAGCTTACCTGCGTAACATCGCACCATGGCGCAGGGCTCGCCTGCGTAACGTCACACTTCAGAGCGGGGTTCACCCGCGTGACGTCACACTTCAGACCGGGGTTCACCTGAGTGGGGCCACACTTCAGAGCTGGACTCACCCGCGTGACGTCACACTTTAGAACAGGGCTAATCTGCATAACGTCATACGCCAGAGCGAGGTTCATCTTAACGACGTCACACTCCAGTGCGAGTCTCACCTGTGTGACGTCATGTCCGGCGTCGAGCCGGTAGGGGCCGCCCTTGCCGCCGAGGCCGGCCGTGTCGCGGCCGCCGGTGCCACCGGCCCAGGTGTTGCCGCCCACGTGCGGCGCGTTGGTGGCGTCCTCTTTGCCGTGCTTGGGCTCGCTCACGTCTTTGCCGCTCTCCTGTTCGACCGTCAGCTGGACCGGCCGGGAGTCTGCTCGGCGCCCATGGCATGCGGACGAATCGACGCGTCGGTGACGGCTCGAGCTGCGCGGCCGCAGGTCGAGCCGGCACAGGACGGGGCCGGTGGCGGCCGGCGGCGGCGCGCGACAGGCGCACGGCGCCCGTCCCGTCCCGCCGTCCGATGCCCCGGTCGCCCCGGCGCCACTGACATAGACACATGCACTGCACGAGACACGGTTCGGTGCGGCGAGCCCCCACACGGTCGGATCATGCTTCAGCACAGGCTCGCCCCGCGTGTTTGGAGTTCGCGGCGGTCAGTAGTACCCTTCCCAATATCCCGGGGCTCCGACCTGTACCACGCCACCGGGTGGTTGGCTCGGCCTCCCATCAGCGGGCAGCAGCGTGTCGCCCGCTGATGGCTGACCGAAGCCCGCCGTTACGGACGGCAGGATCCGGCCTCACCCCGGTGGCCTTTGCTTTCTCGCGCCGGCCGCCGCACGGCGTCCGACGTACAACAGGCCGCGGAAGTGGGGAGCCGCACTTGATTCCGTCTCACACAAACGGGCAAGGCAAGAGTCGGTGGTTGAGCAGCGCGGTGAACAGTGACAAGTTGTTCCTGTCGCTGTTGTCCGTTAAGTTTCCCACCCTTCGGCCCGAGGAGCATTCCGAGGTCTCTCTGCCCCCCACCCCTCGTGTCACGAATAGACGCCCGCCGCGCCCAAATAAGGAAAACCCCATCAGAATAACCCTCCCGTCCTCACAGCACATGACTAGTTTTTTATCTTTCGCTCTGACTGCTACAACTCCCACATCCAGAACTCCCTCGTAGCTCTCGCATCCTCGCCTCCCCGTCCCCCCCCCCCCCACACACACCAAGTGACGCCCCAGGGCCTACCGTCGCCGACGAGACGGCCCCACTCGGCGGCCGAGCGAGCCAGCTGCTCGGCGGCCGTCTCCCAGAGCCGGACCACGCCGCGCGTGTCCACGGTCACCACGCCGCCGGCGCCGTGGCCCGCCACGAACACCGACGTGCTATTGATGCTCGATGCCCACGAGTAGTAGTGCAGGTGCGTGGTCGGGCTGAAACGGCGTCAGAGCTGGTGAAACGGCGCTGGTGGGACTCGCTGACGAGGCGGCAGGTGCGAGGGCAAGCGTGTGCGGGGGCATGGTGAGTCATGGAGACGAATGGAGGCGGAACCACGGGCCGGGAGGGTGCAGAATGTGGTAAGGCTGACAAACACAGGGCGGCGGGAGGGTGCCAAGTGTGGTGGGTCTGACAGACACAAGGCGGCTGGAGGGTGCCAAGTGTGATGGGGCTGACAGACACAGGGAGGTGGGAGGATGTCAAGTGTGGTAGGGCTGACAGGCACAGGGAGGAGGGGGGGGGGGGGCGCAAGTGTGGTTAGGGCTGACAGACACAGGGCGGCGGGAGGATGCCAAGTGTGGTAGGGCTGACAGACACAGGGAGGCGGGAGGGTGCCAAGTGTGGTAGGGCTGACAGACACAGGGCGGTGGGAGGGTGCCAAGTGTGGTAAGGATGACAGACAGAGGGCAGCGGGAGGGTGCCAAGTGTGGTGGGTCTGACAGACACAGGGAGGTGGGAGGATGCCAAGTGTGGTAGGGCTGACAGGCACAGGGAGGCGGGAGGGCGCAAGTGTAGTAGGGCTGACGGACACAGGGCGGCGGGAGAGTGCCAAGCGTGGTAAGGATGACAGACAGAGAGCGGCGGGAGGGTGCCAAGTGTGATAGGACTGACAGACACAGGGAGGTGGGAGGATGCCAAGAGTGGTAGGGCTGACAGGCACAGGGAGGCGGGAGGGCGCAAGTGTGGTTAGGGCTGACAGACACAGGGCGGCGGGAGGGTGCCAAGTGTGGTGGGTCTGACAGACACAAGGCGGCTGGAGGGTGCCAAGTGTGATGGGGCTGACAGACACAGGGAGGCGGGAGGGTGCCAAGTGTGGTAGGGATGACAGACAGAGGGCGGCCGGAGGGTGCCAAGTGTGGTAGGTCTGACAGACACAAGGAGGTGGGAGGATGTCAAGTGTGGTAGGGCTGACAGACACAGGGCGGCCGGAGGGTGTCAAGTGTGGTGGGGCTGACAGACACAGGGCGGCCGGAGGGTGCCAAGTTTGGTATGGCTGACAGACACAGGGAGGCGGGAGGATACCAAGTGTGGTGGAGCTGCTGTTCATTCGGGACCAAGTTCGGGCAGAACACTGCCATACGTCATGTCTTGGTGGACGAGCTCTTCCGTGCACAGGCGTGTGGCAGGAATACAACACATACTGTCATATGGGCGCTGTGAACAAGGCGATCAAGCCTAACTTCTCCGCCAGACCACGCGTTGATAATTCTGCGACAGGCGGCGACAAGACCTCGTGATAGCTACGACAGTGTACCCGAACGGCCATTCTGTACGACCTAAATACTTACAATACTTGGTAGCGCTGAAAAGTAGCGCCTCTTCTTTGGTAAGTCAAAAGCCGTTTAAGATATGAGAGCTAAACCAAAACAGAGAGAAGACCTATCTCAAACATTTCGGTTCTACTTGCTCATACATTTCTATTTCATTTTCACTCGTCGGCCCCATGCCAATCCAAGCATGTATGCCGCCAAAGCAGTTTGGCGAAGCCGTCACGGAAATCATCGACGGGTACCAACTGAAGTCAAACCTAAACAGCTGTCTGCAGTTCGTCTCCAGATGAGGACGGCCTCTCTGACGATGCTCTGTGAGTTTAAGGAACAAGTGGAAGTGACACGGAGACAGATGAGGACCGTGTGACGGATCATGATAATCGATCATCTGGATGTTCAACCGCCGAGCTGGCTTCGCTGTTTGTAACCCTTTAGCCTTGTGGGGTCGTGCGTCGCCGTACTGCAGAACAATTTGCTGCACACCGGGCAGCACAGGTCCGAAAGAGCTGCGTACAACCCAATATTTCACGCACATTACGTTGTCAAGACGAAAATAAATGAAACCGAGGGATAGAAAATGAAAATGAATTTCACCAAGTTTTTGTCCTGATGATGCACTTGTACTGTGAATGAAATCTTAAAACAAATACAACACATCAGAAACTTGTTTCCTTTCGAGGATAGTTCAGAGCATTGTAGAATACCACGCCGAGAAAACATTAGAATCATTACAGTTCAGCCCAGTCACGTAACCACGTCTGCTAAGAAGACACACAAATCAAGGCATCACTTCTCTAACAGTGCTGGTGAAAAGTACCAAGTCTACATGGTAAACATGGGAAGTGAACAGACCACAACAGATCGCACGAACGCCCGTCACTTCTTGCGCGCCACTCCATCGTCCCCCCCCTCCCTCCCCTCCCCCACCCCACCCTTCTCCGGCGCCTGAATGCTTCATTAACGTCACCGACCTGATCGGGTTATCGATAGCAAAGGCTCACATTAGCAAGTAGATGAGACGCTTGGCGTGTGGGGCACCACCACCCGCAGGCCCGGTGCGGCCCTGCCGGGCGCAACGAGGATGGCCCCGGCCCCGGCTCCGGCTCCGGCTCCGGCTCCGGTTCAGGCCCCGGCCCCGGCCCCGGCCCCGGCTCCGGCTCCGGCTCCGGCTCCGGCTCCGGCTCCGGCTCCGGCTCCGGCCCCGGCCCGGCCCTGGCCCCGGTTCCGGCTCCAGCTCCGGCCCCAGTCCCAGCCCGGCCCCGGCTCCGGCTCCGGCTCCGGCTCCGGCTCCGGCTCCGGCTCCACCTGCCGCCACCCGCCAGCCGCGCCCGCGTCGTCAGCTCGCCCGACGCAATCATATCGGCCCGAGCGACGCGTGAGCTTCGATAACGGCACATCTCGGAGGCGCCGACTTGTTACCGCCCACCCGTCTGCCGGGTCACGGCCGGGCACAGAGCGGTGCGGAGGCCGTCTGCACGGGGCCCCGCCGCAACGTCAGAGAGCGCGTGCCGCGAGTGCCTTCACAGTGCGTGGACAACATTTTACGAAATGCTGCTCACAGGTAATGCCATTTAACAAGGGTCTGTCTCTGGGACGGAAAGCCGTAATCGACATCTGCAGCTGCGGACAAGACTTCCCATTGACTAGTCTGAAGTCTAGGAGACGGGACAGCTGCGGACAAGACTTCCCAGTGACTAGCCTGAAGTCCAGGAGACGGGACGGTGCGACACGGAGCGGTACGGAAACCCAAGAAGCACGAGTTTTCATCCACACGCATACTCATCCCTTTTTGTTTGGGCGTCTCCTCGAACACGGGAATCAATCCTGCCCCACATCAGTCCCAGAAGCCACAGAACAAAACTTTGCCTGATTAACAACTACAGCCGGTTGAGTGACCGCCGTGATGAGGTCAAAATTTCTCGATTAGCGCTCAGCGAAACGCCAGCGCATGTCCACAAATTCGGGCCCTAATTGCGTCTAATTGACCTCCATGGCATATCACGTTATTGCGTCCAGTCAGATCAGACCAGCTGCAATCAAGGGATGGAACCTGGATGTAAAATCAATGAATGAACTTTGCCCGACGAAGTTCGGTCTGCATGCACATGGTTCAAAACGAGGAAGTTGCGCAATACGCAGGTACGTCAGAATGCCGTTATTAGGACATGTCTGCCACAACACGGCCGCCCCGCATGAAAACACCGGGCGCGAGGCTGACCGCGCGTCGTCGCACGGCCCAGCATGCTACCGCTCGACCATTCAGCGGGAGCCCGGCCGCGCTAACACGGGACATAACACCGCCGGTGGCAGTTGTCGACCACAGACATGCCGCGAAAGGACTTGGACAGAATATCGCAGGGGCATCGCCTCAGCGGGCGTCCCTGTGGTGGCCTGTCTTTTGTCGGACCAGCGGCGCTGTCAAGCGTGGCGGCAGCTGCTTGTTAGCAGCGTGCGAGTTCCAAGGCTATTTCGGTGCAAGTTTCCATGCACGTAAGCTACATGTATTCTAACAAAAGTAGCCTGAACTTTCTAAAAGCTTGATGACACCAGCGCCAGTTAAGAACCTGACTGGTGTCCATCTGTCCCTCGGACCTGATGACACTAACGCCTGATGAGGACATGACTGGTGTCCATCTATCCCCTCGGGCCTGATGACACTAACGTCTGATGAGGACCTGGCTGGTGTCTCATCCGTCCCTTCGGGGCCAACCGGCTCAGAAGTTCGGTGCAGATGCAAGGCCACTGACGTCGCGTGTCTGCCAGAGTACCGAGGCCAGCGGCGAACACCCAGCCAGCGGCCACCACGGCACTGCTATGGACAGGTCACACAACCGACCGGGGATTCCAAATTGCCATCCAATACCACGTCCGGTCACGGCCCAGCACCGAGCGAGGCCTGCTTCTCCGGAGCTCTCCTGTCGACGTCGACGACAACGGAAGGCCTCCGTTCCTGGTGTATTCATTTCAACGGCAGCTACTTCGGCCGATGGGCGCTTTAGCCAATACTTCCTGACCTCTCCGACGCTTCAATGCATCCTGTACTACAGCGAAAACATCTGCCACAGCCTGATCGTACGTGCAAAAACGACCTCAACGCAGATTAGCGAAACGCACACACCAACTGCGACCCACCACCGTGTTGGAGCTAAGGCATCGCCAGGGTGGCTTCGTTACAAGGAAGGTTAGCATGCGGTGCCGTCCCGCCTCGGTGACATCTTCCTCACTCTGAGGGGCTCGCGCCCCAGGACGCGACGGCGCCGGGTCTCACCAGTGCACGGGCAGGTACTTGACCGCCTCGGCTGGCAGGTCGCTGACCTCCAGGTAGGCGCCGACCGAGGGCGACTTGGGCATGTCGCTGCGCACTTCGGCCGGCAGGTCGCCGCGGGTCACCACTCGGATAACCTGGCACAACAGGGGGCGCAATGAGCGGCCAGCCAGGCGCGCCGGCATCACGTGGTTACGGCAATTTTCTCTCTCACGAAAACAGCACATCGTGTTGCTTAGTTACAGGGCCACTTCACGACAAGGTGACTGGATGATAACACGGCACCCATTCAGATCTGACGAAAATGCGACAAAGGCGTAATAATAGAGCCAAAACAGGCTTCTGTACGTTTTAGAGCTGCACGGCGTACTGATAAGGAACTAAGAACAGATGAAAATACGCGATGACGTCACAAACCCTATTTTCAATTTGCCGTAACGACAACACTGCGGAGCATAGTGTTTTGGAGAAAAGTGCATGGGGAACCTAAATGCCTCTATTTTGTTGTCAGCCATGGATCAATACCACATTCAAGGTAAGTTGGGTCCATAAAGTGTCCTAGTTTGACCTATGAACTCCTTTTCTGAAGGGCATGGTACCTTCGACTTTTAAGCCGATGTTCAGGTTTAGACTCACTTACACCCGTTAAGGTCAAGTAAAGCACTGGATGAGATCTCTTCTAAATCGGTCGCAAATCAAATCTGAACATTGACGGATGACGCACGGCGGTACGCCATGACCCGACCGGCCGGTATCAGGTGACCGGGGGTGACCAGTTCACCCCGTCAGGAACTGTGGCTGTGGCCGTGAGACGATTATTTCAATCTTAAAACCGGTCACTTAGACTGTCTTACGGAATCCTAGAGTAATGTCCAAATGACGAACACGTGTCAATCGATCGTCGAGCCTGTCGTCGTTCACGACTCGCGTAGATGGCCCCGTCGTGCAATCTGAGCCCCGATAACACATTGCCAGTCATCATATAAAGTGGGGCTGCAGCTGAACGTAAACAAAAACAAAAGACAAAACAAGACGAACAACTGGTCTGAAGTCGCACGCTGTTCTTCCAACCTGGGCTGGGGCCGGGGCAGTCACCTTGTGAGACGGTCCAGCACAAGTGGAACCGCACACATGATATTCGATACAGCACGCATCTCATTCGACGCCGGCTCCGAGCGAACCAGGCTGGGGCCCGAGCGAGAGGGTCAGTGAGTGTAGAGCGTTCTTAACGGGAGATCAGGAAAATGAAGAAAAAGCAATTACAAGTACGCTGCGCTTCCATGCCAAACTGAGACATCTTTAGTCATTTGACCTCGAGCGCAAAGCCACAAAACAAGTTAGCGCAAAATTACCGACAGTTAGCTAGAGAAGAGCTGCGCTCTAAAGGACGTGGTAGAAATGGGTGATACATCACATACGGCCTGCTGGAAAAAGCATCGTCATCCTCCATTTCAACTACTGATGCAATTCCGTCAACGAGTTGTTGTGTCGGAACTACAGAATCCCTGACCATAAGTTGCCTATCGATGACGTGCTCGAGCTCAGCCACGGAAATGGCAGCCCGGAAGCGAGATCACGATTCTGCGATTGATGACTAATTCAGGATTCTCGCGATCGTGATTCCAAAGTGCACTTTGCAACAATTACACAATAGAATCTACGGCTGGATTAATTTCTTTCCATTCATGTGAGAACAATTGAAGTTCTTTGTCCATGCAAATTATCCGTAGGCAGGACGATTCCCCCACCTCTCCTCACCGTCCAGCTACTGGGTTGTGTGTCTTAATTGGGTGCATCATCGATAATGTTGGTATTTCAGTGCAGAACTTTGTAAGGAAGAATTCAGCACAAATTCTAAACATATCACCAGTTTTAATTGCCAGGTTTGACAATGGCATCGCGTTCGCGAATGACTTGTTGGCGTTTGCCAGGGGACTATCGGAAGCACAACGGCCAATGGAGGGACGAAGGAAACCATGGGCTTTTCACGGAAGGCGCCCCGGGAACGTCTGTGCTTTTGCCATGGACCTTTTCCGGTTTTTCAGTTTTGTTGTATTGCACACAGCGCATAACAAGTCTACCGTTGGATGGAAACAATCGAGCGAGTAGCGGCTTGGCAAATAAACAACAGGGGCATGCTTTAAAACAGTCACTGACCTCCTTAGTAGAAGTATTTGTATACTTAGTGATAGGTACACCTATTCAATAGTCGTAGTACACCCTTGTCAGGTAAAGGCGCAATCCATGCTTAAACGTCTCCACCAAGGTCTAAAACAACTTGTTGCTGTCTGACTCATTATAAAACAAAGGTTACTTCCATAAGACGTGTCACCGCACCGAAATGGTGTTCCCTAAGTGCGCATTGCACTTCCTTGCGGCCTGTCATGGGAAAGGCCCATGCAACTTTATGGGGTGAGGGGGGGGGGGGGCACCTTTAAACGACTCATAGACTGTGGAAGTCTGCAACACCCAGAACATTGATCAAATCCTGACGTCACGGGCTATGCCTCGCGGCCGCACCGGCCGCAGTGCTGGTTGGTGAGCCAATACGACATGGACGCAGTTCATGTAATGCTTTAAAGAGCTCAACACGAAACGGAACGAATCTGTGCGCTTCCCTCGTAGCTTACCAGTCACGTCTGTGCGCGCATACCATCTTTCTGCGAATAATCCCTAAGTTTGCGATTAATCACGTAGTTCAACCTTGGCGTTTCATTGCTATTCTAGCTATACTGATAAATTTATGACAGGTGATGAGATCCGTAAAATGGAGCAACGCTTAGCATGCAGGTTAAAAAACACGCACGCATGCGGAAGGGAACGCGTAGCTACCGTCATCATCAATCCTAGGGAAGCACACCCCATTGGCAGTCACATGCATGGACATAACCACTCGAGCATCCCAAATTATCCCGTGAGGGATTATTGTAGCGTGACACCTTAAAGGCAACGACTTGGTTGTACAAAACCAACGGTGCAAAATGAACAACCAAGAATTTGGGACTGTATGTTTGGCTTCTTTGCCTTCACATCAACTGACGTGAACGAATGATTATAGACATAATTCGATCTAAAGGACTTAACAAACTCATGACATATGGCTGCACACAATGTCGTTGAAATATTATTTGGCTCTCTTTCTACGAGGCTCGGGATAGATGATAGGACATATGGTCAATTCAAATGCATTCTTCATTTGTCAATAGTTCCGGAGCCCGGCTGGTTGCAAGGTCAAGGTCACTATTCCCGAGTGAACCTATCGCGCCCAGGCACGTGATACCGGCCGGTCGGCTCATGGCGGGCCGCCGCGCGTCATCCGTCAATGCTCAGATTCGATTTGTGACCGATTTATATCAATTTATATTTATCCGAACAGTAGCACACTGGCATTTACTCGCATACCTGCTTTAGTCGGGGATAATTGAAAATCTATGTAAAACTAAGTGAATATACCATGTTTTTCAGAAAAGAACATCAAACGTCTCAGGCTATCTTTTTATTTCTGGCTGTCGCGCTGAAATAAACTGACATTCAAATGCCAGGGGGTGCTGGCCAAACGGGGATGTTGAGCGCGCATCTTTTGCATCATTATTTGGAAGGACGGGCCGTCTTGTTTTGCAGGACAGTCCGGCTTTTCGTGGGACAGAGCGCGCCGAGCATTGCGATACGTTAAGCTTTCACCGCCAGTTGACGCAGTTGATCCGGATTCAAGACCGGATGGGTCGCTCAGCACTAGCGCAACGAGCACTGCTTAGCGTCGGTGCTGATCACGGAAATCCATAAGGTGAAAAACTACGAACTGAACTTTTGTAAAAAATTATATTCGAGAATTTTCACGACACATTTCAGTGATTTTTGCCATCTTTGTTTACACGGAGTTCTTTGGTTTACTGAAGGGCGATTATTCACAGCGTGCGAATTCAACACGTGGACGACGGCATGTCACTTCAATGTCGAAAACTCTCAACATAAGGAACGCCTGAAATGTTTGTTGACCAGTATCGATTGGTAGACTGCGGGCTGTTCGTTGTCTTTCTACACCTAGTGTCATTATCAGCATTGGAAATGGCGAAGCACGAGGACCGCAAGACCGTCCTTGCGCACATCCGGCACATCTCCATTTGAGTGTGGCAAGTCCTGCATGTTGTGAGCGATTTGTGCCACGACGGTACGATGCAGATAGGCTGTGACGTCGACGTCCTTGTGCGAGTTTCAGGCTACACTGCATTTGCATTCCTCTGATCGTCGGGGAAGCTTCCGGAATAACAGACTGGCAAACAATAACGAACAAGGGCCCTTAATAGCGAAGGCAGCGACGAGAAGGGACGCCGGAGGTCCACAAATCTCCCTCGACAGCTTTCCACAACACGCTCGAGCTGCGGAGGACGTCAACAAGCCAGAACAGAGCAGCAATGAAGAAATACGTTACAGGCAGCGCTGTGGCGGATCGGTGCAACGCAGAATGGCTCCTGCTGGGGCCGTTACAATACCGTCAAAGTGACTGCTCTCAGGAGCGAGAACGGAGAGCGGGCAGAGGAGAGAAGGAAGAGCAAACAGGCAAGAGGTGAGGGAGGAGATGGGAGAGTGGGAGAGAGGGATATCACGAGTTATTTTACTAGGCCACAGGCCCTGTCTTTATTCTTTCCAGCCTCTGCCTACTCCCAACAACCCTACCTGGTTGCTTGCAACGGAATGAGTCACCTAATGGCCTGTTTCTCGAAACCGCAAACATCGCCTCCCTGTGAGCGCGTCGTTTCGCCGCTGGCACGCCTACCTCTGAACCCACTGACCACTGCACCTGCCGGTCCCTCCTCCCCCCCCCCACGCCGACCGGCGGTCCGGCTGACCTGCCCGCCCCCTCCACCCCCCCCCCGCAGACCGGCGACCCGACTCACCTGTCCGGTCTCCGGCTGGACGACAGTGGTGTGGCGCGGGTCGAGCGGGCGCCGCGGCCGCTCCCCGCCGCGCTCCGGCTGCCGTGGCCAGCGGTACACCTCGTGCGCGCTGGCCTCCAGCTCCGGGAAGCCGAGCACCAGCGCCGCATGCGACTGGGCGTCGGCCAGCAGCCGGGAGGGTGCGCTGATAGTCTGCTGCAGCGCCGCCGACAGCACGGCCGGCGGCGTGTCGTGGCCAGAGGCGCGCAGCACGGCCGCCAGCCGCGCGCCGCCCGACTCGGTTAGCGGCGCCACCGTCGCCTCCGAGAGATCCTCCGCCACGCGCAGTACGTAGCGCCTGCCGGACACGGTCGGCCGGCGTCAGCACTGCCAGCGGTGGCGCCGCAGACGCGGCTGGTCGTGCATCAGCCACCTCGGTTCGTCCCGCTGGTGGGTTTCTGAAGACAATTATTATTTAGGGTGCAAGGAGGTTACAAATATCTCGCTGCCATCCACTGTCTGGATTTGTGTCATAAGGGAGAAGCAGAAAATGAAAAGACGGAATAGCTCCGAGATCCGCACGCCCACAACGCGCAAATCCGAACGGTACAGTTGTTCTTCCTTAAGAAACCGTAGCCTCGTTTGCTGCACGCTCACCGCATAGTGTGGCCCGCTTATCGTGAATGGACGGGCATGTGGGAACTAACGGGGAGGGGGAGGGGGCTGAACCTTCTCTTACTGCAACAATTTTATGTTAGCAATGACCCCATGGTCGTTGACTGGAAAGAAATCACCAAAAACCGCTAGCGTGTGTGTGGGGGGGGGGGGGGGAGAACCCCTTACTTGGGTAGACATCTGTGTGTGACATCTGCCTGCGTGTGTGTGGGGGGGGGGGGGGGGGCAGAACACGGAGGGCTGGTGGACAGACGGCTCTGCGCACGACAGAGAGGCGACACCTAATCACAGGAGCCCGGCAGTAAGCCCCGGTCTCGGTCGTCGCCGGCGGCATGGCCATCTCGCGTCACAGTTCCATCACCGAGAACAGAGCGCCGGCGCCGCCACAACAGTCGTACAGCTGGTCCGAAAGTCTCGGAGAACAGCGCAGCCCGGAGCCCGGAGCAGAAACGAGCGGGCGGCACAGCTCTGGGCGTCTGCATGATTAACAGAGGCGAGGGCGAGCAGCCCGCCACCACGGGGTAGACACGGGGGCGAGAAGCCCGCCACCACGGGGTGGACGCAGGGGCGAGAAGCCCGCCACCACGGGATGGACACAGGGGCGAGTAGCCCGCCACCACGGGGTGGACACGGGGGCGAGCAGCCCGCCACCACGGGGTGGACACGGGGTGAGCGTCCCATTACGCCATCAGGTGCCAATGGTATTCCAGCAGCAACGGGGACCCTCTCTGGGCTATATGCGCACATTAGAGCACGGCCAATCTTGGCTAGAGGTGCCATTCGCAACATACATGTTTTCCACACACGCACACGCACACACATGCGCACGTACGCACACACACACACACACACACACACACACACACACACACACACACACACACACACACACACACACACACACACACACACACACACACACACACACACACACACACACACGCACGCACGCACGCACGCACGCACGCACGCACGCACGCACGCACGCACGCACGCACGCACGCACGCACGCACGCACGCACGCACGCACGCACGCACGCACGCACGCACGCACGCAAACACACGATATATATATATATATATTATATATATATACATGTGTGTATATAGACAAGCGCCGAAACGTTTGGAAATGTAAACTTCCTGCTAATAGCCTTTAACATCTAACGCCTAAGCGTTCATCAGGACTGACAGGACTGGCCATGCAGCCACTGCGGGGTAATTTCGACCGAGTATAACTCTGGTGGGTAGCGCAAACAACGACATGCAAACATAAACGCGAGGGTGAATAAAATACAATACATGGGTTCATAGACGCCGCGGAAGGCGGCGCTCGTGACAAACAACTGGCCCCGCCTGTGAGCCCGTTCGGCGCGTGCCGGACAGGGGTGTCCACGACCCGCCCTTCCAGGTCGTCACCGCATCGGCGCGTGCCGCACAGAGGGGAGCGCCGAGCGGGTCACCCGGTCTGCTCGTCGGAAAGGGATGTGACGGGAGGTGCTCTGACCTGGCCTGCTCGCTGTCCTCCTCCAGCAGCCAGTGACGGGGTGCCACCAGTGCCAGGCTGGCCAGGTTCATGGGCAGAGTGACGGTGGCCGAGACACCCTCGGACAGGTCCAGCGCCTGGAGTCGGCTGCCACCCGGCTCGTACATCACCTGTCGGCCGTGGGCGGGCGTCACAGGCCGACTCCGGACAGTGGCACGGGGCGGCTACTGGGAAACGGGTCGTTGTCGGAGGACTACGGACCGAGGGAGGAATAGTCACAGGAGAAACTACCGACCGGGAGGGGCGGCCATCTGAGGACTACATGCTGGGGGAGGGATGGTCATCTGAGGACTACATGCTGGGGGAGGGATGGTCATCTGAGGACTTTCAGACCGGGGGTCATCTGAGGAGTTCAGGCCGGGGGTCATCTAAGGACTTCAGGCAGGGGGTCATCTGAGGACTCAGGCAGGGGGTCATCTAAGGACTTCAGACCGGGGGTCATCTGAGGACTTCAGGCAGGGGGTCATCTGAGGACTTCAGATCGGGGGTCATCTGAGGACTTCAGGCCGGGGGTCATCTAAGGACTTCAGGCAGGGGGTCATCTGAGGACTTCAGACCGGGGGTCATCT